GATAACCATGGATGGCCATCCTTCAGGCATGCCACGCTGGCTCGTGATCTTCGACGAGCCACTGATTTTCAAAGCGTCGGAATGTGCGACCTAGTCTAAAGCAGTCGTCATGAATGCATGTCATACTAGTGCATGTCGGCATAGAGATGAGTGGTCGGGTGCGTGCGGTTTGTAATTGTCAGTGCATGTAGAGTGGTTTGTTCTACTAGGTTTATACGCGCATTTAAAACTAGTTTAATGTGTGTAGAAGTAGTATGCTTCAAGTAAGGCAGTCAAGCGGAAGGCATACACCTTGGACATGAGATATCCGTAAATGACATGGATAATAATAATGACTTCATGCCTATTAATAATTTTGAAGTTTCCGTTCAAATGTATCGTGACAATTCGTTTAACATAGTGTAGTGACTGTTCATGTGATCTAAGGTGGCGTAACTGTTCATGTGACAGCACGCACGAACCTACAGTTCATGCATGGACTCACTTTGGAACGCCCTTCCTTTTGAAGTATCACCCTAATAATATAGTTATAGTGACAGAAATAATGATCCGGATGTTGAGCATTATGTAGCCTTTTCAACCACTACGACCATTGCACACGAAGCCTTAATATTGAATGGTGGTACGCATTGTGAGGGGCACATAGTGGATGTGTTCGCGGTGCCAAAATCCAGAATAATACATTGGATCTAACTCGAACTCCAAAAGATATACAAAGAGTACATCCGGACAAATAGTTCCATGGATAGAGATCAAACTTTTGAACGGCATTTTTAGTACCTAATCTACAGACTCTTGGCCTTGGATCACCGCCCGCACCCTCCTATGCATGATGTCGCTAAGGTTAGAGCAAACCTTATAAGGGGTCTTCTCTCACTCTTCCTGGACCCACCCTTTTGCATAAGGGAGTGAGCACTAGGAAAATCGCGAAGGAGTGGGGCGTAGGCAAGAGTATTGTGCATGACCACAGATTAAATGTTATGTCTAAGACTAGCTGCGCCGAGGTGCAGCCAAAGATGTCGTTAGCCGGTTGGCCCCGCCATATCACAGATCGTCTTCGTCGTACCGTTGTAATTCAAATCAGAAATAGAGCAACCAAAACTAGCTTCGATGCTGTGAAACCGAGGGGAACGTAGTACGGTTGACTGTGCACCCTTCCACCGCTAGAATCACGCAATGATCGGCGGGTCTCATCGCGGTGCAGCAGTCAAAGAAGCCACGGCTGTCCAGGAAGAATATCCAGGACTGGCTACAATTCGCGGAGTTGCATGTTGAGTGGACAATAAATTATTGGAAGCGTATGATCTGGTCAAATAGGACCAAGATCAACCGATTCTGCTCCAATGGCCAAGCGTATGCGTGGATTAGTGAAGGCACAACCCTGCAACACCACCAAATCAAACAGACGGTAAACCACGGGGACAGGGCTCGGTGATGTATGAGGTGTGTGGATGTGGGGTTCATATGCAAGATTGAAGGGCAGATGGACTGGCCCTTGTATCATAGCATTTCGCACAACGACCTCGAATCAACCCTCGGCTTCTACAGCCTTTCCCCCTCTGACCTCATATTCGATCTGAACAATGACCTCAAGTATTTGTCCCGCCTAGTGCACAAATGGCTTGGAGAGGATGAGTATGCAATGTTGGAATGGCCCTCTTCTTCGCCAAACCTCAACCTCTGGGCTCACCTGAAGAGGGAGATGACCAAGTATGAAAGGCCTCCCTCTGGAATTGTAGAGCTTTGGGAGCGGGTCCAGGAAGAGTGAAAGAAGATCCCTGATAAGGTTTGCTCTAACCTTATCAACAGCATGCTTAGGAGGGTTTAGGCGGTGATCAAGGCCAAGGGTTAATGGACTAGGTACTAGAAACGCTGTTCTAAATTTGGTTCTCTGTCCATGGAATTATTTGTCCGGATGTACTCTTTGTATATCTTTTGGAGTTTGAGTTAGATCCAATGTACTATTCTGGATATTGACACTGTGAACACATCAACTATGTGCCCCTCGTAAAGTGTACCACCATTAAATATTAGGGCTTAATGTACAGTGGTCTGCCTAAAAACCCTACTTAATGTTCAACATCCGAACAATTATTTCCGTCACTGTAAATCGAACTTTAGAAATGACAAGTAGTAAAGCATCCTTCAACGCTCGCCTTCATTCCTGATGGTAGAATTTGGTGTAGATGTCACATTTCTCGCAGATTCGGACCAGGTCTCAGCGCTGCTGAAAATTGGATTGCGGATTTCTCGGTAAGGGAGTCTACAGTAATTTCACATGTAGGGTAGTATTTCAGGATCAATTTGCCTCTGTGGATTTTGTCATTCAGGAAGAAGTAACGTAATGCAATGTGTTTGGTCGTGTTGACTAACCAGATTGCACTTTGATTGTGACACAGTAAAGTTTCGTGTTGTTGTAATTTATGCTTCCTGTCGTAGTTCTTAGATATCTTGTCCCTCGCGAGCTGCGACACAGGCTGCGACGGATTCCGCTTTGGCTGACGCTATGGCGATGATTTATTGCTTTGTTAAGTTCCACGAAAAGACTCTAGCAGGTTCAACCATGAACACAACAAATGTAGTTGGACAACACCAGACATTATATAGCAGGTCGTCGACGTATGCGACGATAAGAAGCATTAATGCAATGAAATTCCAGGCGATGCATCTCGAGATCGTGGGGTAGTTGAACAAAGTCAGAAGATATCAGGACCCGGTGGAGATGCTACTATGAGGAGATTGTTTGGTGCCACAAAGAGATTTTAGGAGCAGGCAAACTTGAGAACCGTCACTATAAGTGTGGGGCAGCTTGACCAAAGTTTCTACGTTAGCATAAAGAAATGCATTTTTATGTCGAGTTGTCAAGGCGCTTGCTGACGGCAGGTGCCGACAGCGAGGAGAATCCTCACAGATCTATGACGGTTGACCGACATGAATGTTTTATCGTAATCAACTCTCAGGGTTTGTTCGAAACCCGAACGACTCATCCCACCTTCAATCTATCAAGTTGGCCAGCTGCATTTGTCTTGATGCGGAAAACCCACTTACCCGATACTATATTATTCCCTCGCGCAGATGCTTTCGGGACAAGTTTCCAAAATTTGCGTTCCGCGAATCCATCTATTCCTGTAGTCTACTTGATAGCATCGGGGCCAGCGAGATCTTGCCTGACAGTTTTTGGCTCGATCCCTGCGTTGGTCTTTGCACAGCGGCAACGAGGCTAAGAATTTGGAGAGCAGATTGAGTAGCACGTGGATGTTCTTTACTGCGTACTTCGACCACATCTGATCCTTAATTTTAGTAAGGATATGACGTTCTCCCTCGTGTGAAACTGCATCTATTCACTACTGACGAAGTTGAGGTGGGATTATATGAACCGAAAAGGTTTCGACAAGGCTCGGTACAATGATTGAAACGTTACGGATTGGCTGACGTGGCTGGCGTTGAAGCTGAGGGACCAACTGTCGTGTTTGGAGGAGGATAATATTCCTTTGCTGCGTCAGCTTTATCCTTTAGGGTCCTACAACTTCGTTCGTCATTGTAGCGAGCACGACTATGCGACAGTTGTTCTTCATCATGCCCGGAGCCATCGAGGAACAACTTCTCGTAGAAGATGAAGACGTGGGCATACTTTTTTTTTTTTTTTTTTTTTTTAAATTTATTCATTTAGTTTCATAGTCCATGAGAATCAACATGTAGGAATCTATTGTAACAATGGGGGTGTACTCCCCAGCGAGCACATTCGGTAAAGCTGGCCACAGTTGCACTCGGAGGGCGATATTGAGCAATCCAGCCCCACACATAAAAGACGGGTGTCAACAGGCTGCTTTGTCCACATCACGTGAGCAGAGTTCAAACGTGGCAGGATTATCGAGGAGAGCAAGTTGTGTAGCCCAACAGCTTTTGCCATCGCATGCGGCCAGAAATTGACTGGCAGATGTGCTTGCTGCAATAGGACCCCCATCTTCTCTTCCAATGTCTTGTTCGTCCGCTCGACTGCGCAAATCTGCTGGTGAGCGTAGGGGACAGTCTTGCACTTGAAATTTCCTTTCTTTCCTAGATATTGCACTATTTGAAGGCATTGCTGGTGTACTCGCGAGCGTCATCTATCGGCAGCTCCTTCAGCCTTGGTCCACTCTACCATTCTGCTACCTTCAGCAAGAGTTCAAATGCATCAAGAGACTCACTCTTGTGCGACAGGTTCTTGTGCCAGGCGTGTCTTGTAGCATCGATGAAGGCAATCTTGCAGCGATTTTCTTCTTCTCCTATGTCATTCACTTTTGGTGTCATAAATAGGATGGCGTAGAAGGCAAAGACAGTTTGGATTGTAAGTTTGACGGGCAAGGACTGTGTGTCAAGTGAGCAACGGTGCAGATGGTGCAGCCAGTTTGCCGATTACTAGAACACAGTTCTTTATCAAAGACACTTGCATGGAGGGAGTGATTGAGAAATTTTTGGGAGGGATGCCTCCGCAGCTGATGCCAAATCTTCGATGTCGTGCGATTCCTCCTGATCGTCCGTACAGGCCAGGGTTGACAAAGAGCGCAAATGATTTGTGGATTGTTGGTGCACGATTGATGCTGGAGTTGTTGCCTTGAAGTGGAATGTAACCAATTTCTTCTGCTGTTTCGACCCAAGGTATGCCGAGGGCATGCCGTTGTGCCCAAGCATCAGGTACGACTCGTTCGGGTTGATTGTAGGTTGATTCCACTTCCACTTGTTCTTCAATTTTAGTAGCTACTGGCTTGTATCCCCTTATACCATCTCCTCATCCCGAGTTTCCTTCTACTGCTGTCAAAGTTCCCCAACTTGTTGCATCTTCTGCAGGTGATGGAGCTTCGGTGTGGACAGCTGCTGCAGAGTCAAGTGAAGTTGAGCGAGAGGGTTGAGGAGTGGCGATGAAGACACCAAGTCTATCACGGTCTCTACGAAATGTGTTAGTTTTGTAACTATGATTTTACATCACGAGGGAGACGACACGGTCGCTGCTACCAATTGTATTCAGGTGAGAAATTGCTTCGTTCTTTCATCAGCCCAATACAGGACGATTGGGATGAATTGTTGCCAGTAGTGGACTTTGCAGTTAACAATTCTGCACACGAGAGCACCCATGAGAAACCCTTTGTCTTGAATTGTGGTTGGCATCCCACAACCCTTGTGATGTACGGGATTCAGAGTATGAAAATCCCTGCCGCAAAGGGCTTTCTTGGTAAGCAACAGACGCATTGAAATCCGCTCGTCATTGGTTGCAACTTGCCCAGCAGAGGCAAAAATCCTACGCCGATATGAAACGTCGGGAAGTCGCTTATGCAGTTGGCGACAAAGTTATATAGAGTACAGAAAACATTCGTCTTAAGATCCATGGAGCACGAAAGCTGTTCCCTCGTTGGATTGGGCCCTTCGAGGTGATCAAGCGGGTTGGTGAGGTCGCTTACAAACTTAAGCTACCTGAGACGTTGCAGATTCACCCTGTCTTCCACGTATCTCTGCGGAAGAAGTATGTTGCTGAAGGCAAGTACTTACCACCACCAACCATCGTCCTCGATGAGGAACGCTATTATGAAGTCGAACGTGTGCTCACGCACCGAGATCGACAACGCGGCCGCAAGGCAGTTTGTGAGTTCCCAATTCAATGGAAAGGCTATGAGCCTGAACACAACTCTTGGGAGCCTGAGGAACACTTGACCAAGACTGCGGTTCAAGCTTATATGGAAGACTTTGCTCGACGAGCAAGCCCACAACCAGTGGACGGGGTTGGTCTTGGTCGTGATTTGGTGCGCCGTGCTCGTACCACTCACCTAAGGAATCCCTCTCAGGCAACGGGGACGTTGCCACATGGAGGGGGAGGAATGTAACGCATCATAATATCTACCTAGCTCAATTGGCATGACCTGGCTAGGACGCCATAGCATGACCTGCGCTAGATCGCAAGCATGAGAAAGTTGTGCTAGGGAAGGATGGGTTGGGTGTAGAAACGTGGTTAACCACCCAACCGAAGGCAATTGTGGTTTGGAAGTTCCAAACCTTTATATTGAGGCGTGGAATTCCCAAACCTACACATTACCAACCAATGGTTGGATTCGCAACCAACCACAGATTGACAGTTGGTGTTACAACCAACTCAATCTAACATTTTCTTCCACACACTTGCTCTCAAATGGGTAGCAACCCAACCTAAAATGCCACATAAGCAACTGAACTCTAGGAGCTCCTCCACCTTGTTGCCATGGAGGAGTTGGAACTCCCCGAGGGGTCTAGGGAGGGGTTGAGCTTTCCCAAGCTCATTCTCCATTTCCCAACTCCAAGAATCTAATTTGGAAATGAGATTTTCTCTAAGTCTTGGAGCTCTCCTCACAGCTTCCCTACACAACTCTCTCAAGGACTTCTTCACTCAAGTCTCTCTTTTCACGACTTCATCAACAACTGTAAGGCTACTCTAGGGTTATAATTAGGTTGGAGAGCATTCCTTGCTTGTAACCCTATTATAATAGCCTTGGTTGTTAACGCATACTAATATCTACCTAGCACAATTGGCGCGACCTACCTAGGGCGCCATAGCATGACCCGCGCTAGGTCGCAAGCATGAGAAAGTTGTGCTAGGGAAGGATGGGTCGGGTGTACAAATGTGGTTAACCACCAAACCCAAGGCAAATATTGCTTGGAAGTTCCAAACCTTTATATTGAGGCATGGGAATTCCCAAACCTACACATTACCAACCAATGGTTGGATTCGCAACCAACCACAGATTGACAATTGGTGTTACAACCAACTCAATCCAACATTTTCTTCCACACACTTGCTCTCAGAAGGGTAGAAATCCAACC